TGAAAACTTCCTTCCTTTCCTTGGAAGATTCCCTCATCCTTGTTTTTTGTATCAAGATGGAGTAGTAGAAAGCCAAAAACTTTTTTCCCAAAAATTAATCTTGAAATAACCCCTTCAATTTATATATATCATACTAGTGAATTTGTCGTTGTCCATGAAAAGTTATACAATTCTCTATTCAGTGACATAAACATTAACAGTTATTTACATAAAATGGGAAAAATCAGTTAATTTTTGAATTACATGAAATTACACAAGAAGTGAGTATGTAATTTATTCAACACAAAATACATTTTACTACTGTCAGAAACCAGACAAAAATTTTCATTTGACAAATGAAAATTGCTTTGCTCTCGAAATGAATTTTCGAATTGCCACTTACCTACCTCTTGGTAGTAATTGAACTGACAACGACATTATTGGTTCTTTCAGGAATTCCAAATCACAATACATATATCATGTTAGACAATGGAAGTCCGAACTAACGAATTCGCCATCTGTGTGTTAGCCTATTCGTTCGTTGAAAATTGACTTGATAGATAGTAGCCGTATTCTGTACTTATGCAAAGGGATGTTATTCATTATCAATTTGAAATTTTCGTTGGTTTGTTAACTAGGTTTCAATGAAAATTTTTAAGTGAAAAAGACGTTATGGATGCAATTTCCCTCTATTAGACTTTATAAGTTTGTCAAAANAGTGCTTTTCATAGAAAGTATTGAAAATTTCAAACAAAATTCGAAAATAGAAACGATTTTGGGTGTTGAAATAAAAAAAAAATCTATTAATTATCCATATACGAGTGTTCCATATTTGTGTTACTACAATTATTAAAAGTTTTTTAAAACCTGTTATTTCATATTATATAGGTAACAAATTTAGGTAGCAAATTTGAATAACTGAAATGAAAACATTTTTCACTTTCTAACCGACTCTATTATTTATGTTTCTGGAACAGCAACTTGAAAATGATGTATTATTCTGCTACTTAAAGAAAATACTATAGATCAATTGTTCAAACGTAAAAATCGACGTTTTCAATCAAAGTGTACCTTTCAGAGCTAACTGTAGAGTTGACGTGTTCAATTATATATATTTTTTCAATGAAACGTGGAAAATTGATTTTCCCAAAGCTACCCAAAGCAGCTGTGGGCCTTTTATATTTTTCCAAGTCACTAGCTGTTCCCTCAAGACAAACTTTTAATCGAATCCCAGCTTTCTCCACGTATGTTTGAATACCTGTTTCGTATGTTCACCTTTTTCGTATGATATTGGAAAAATGTCTAGTATAACTATAAAAATAGAAAATAAAAATTTAAGAACTATATATAATATCTCGAGAACATATCTATAAAATGAACTCAAGTTTCTAGAATTCTGCAATTGTTATTGTTAAATTAATTGGTCAGATAAATAGTAGATGACTTAACTTTCAATATGATTTGTTGTTTATTTTCCAACGAATTAGACAAAATCAACACAAGCGGAAAAAATTATTTTTTTTTCACTTTATTGCTTATTTTAGTAACTATGAAAATTGCAAATGTGTCAAGTCACATCAATTTCTTGAAAAAATGTATTGAACTCCTTTCATTAACCATATACATATCAGTATGATATAATTTTAAAATGTTCTTATTTGTTTCCTTCCAAGAAATTCTTTTTGCAATACATTTTCAAACAAATACTTTTTCAATTCTAGTAAACACTAGTTGGAAAGTTTTACTTCAAGATTTCGAATAAAAACGGGTTTGAATAATGCAAAAGCAGCTCTAAAAACGTCAGTGAGAAATCAATTTTGACTGTTACTCAATAAGTTTTAAAAATAGGTGATATTGATGAATAAGAATTTGTTATGACACTTATTGTCGTAAATCCGATAAACAATGAATGAGTTAACATATTTGTGTGAAACTCACAAAGCATTACTAAAATACATAATCATGGATTTTCATCAAGTGTTGGTCAATTCCAATAATGGTTGTAATCATTTTCAATGATTACTTACATATTTTGCTTTTAAATTACGCTCTTTATATTCCTTCACTTATCAGCTTGATAGAACATTTCACGTTGTGTGGAATAAACATGCATCTTTGCAATTCAAGTGGAACTTGACATTACCTGACATTATAATTTTTGAACTACTTAGTAGATGGCGTTGTCACAGATCTCACTATTAAAATCTTTGTAAATTGCAATAACTGAGAACTGTACTAAACGGAAGATATGCAGCACCACCGGGCATCAAGCGCAGGAATGCCCTACCCACAAAACGAAATGCTCGCACTGCGGAGAAGCGCACACTTCGACAAAGTGCACAAAAATAAATAATCCAGTCTGCCCTAATTGCAGTGGGGAACACCCGGCATATTCTCTCAAATGCCCAAAACGAGCCACCCAACCTGAGAACCCAAAGGAAGTAGCTCCAGTAACAATTAAAGAACCCACCACAACAGTACTGACAAAACAAATAGAAACAATAATAAAACTACAAACAACACTTCTTCTAAACATCCTCCCGGACAGGAGAACCGAAATCCTCACAATTACCAACGAACTCTGCAAGACCATACTGGAGCACACAATATTCGCCACAGCACAAGGGAATAAAATCGAATATGTATTCACCGAAATGACACCTGAAACAAATGAACAGTAGACACACGAAGCAAGAAAATGGGCGTTTACTCCTCGGAACCGTAAACGCCCAAGGGCTAACCCGCAAGAGACAGCACACCAAACTACTACTACATACGCACAAAATACACATACTAGGCATAACTGACACACTAACAAGGAACCCATCACACTTCACAGGATACCACACAATACACAGACCAAAACTCTCGCGGGATAGCCATTCTCATCAAACACGGCATACCTCATAAACAACACTCCTTACTCCCACATATCCAATCCCTCGATTGCCTAGCAATCGATATATACATATCCAACAGCACAATAACCATTATCACACTTTACAACCACTACCACCAAACACTTCCTAGAGAAATCATGGAATACACCTCATCCCTTCCTAAATCCCTCCTAATAGGCGACCTCAACGCAAGACACACACAATTCGGAGACACCAACACGAACGGAAGACTACTCACTAACTACCTACTAGAACACAACCTATACAGAATCCCATGCCCAGACCCGACGTTTCTGAGCCACCAGGGAGCCTCGGTCATCGATCATATCCTATGTTCAGAAAACCTAATGGAGGCGATGGACGACCGGGCCTACACTGGTGACACAATCACATCCGACCACCTTCCCCTTATAGTCAAAACCTTCCTAGACTCAAAAATTCCAATCACCAACTTCAAAAAATTTCAAAGACTCATCAACCAAAACCTACCACAAATCAACAGACCTACCCTCAACAACAGCAAACTCATCGACACACAAATCGACAAAATACAAACACTCATCCACAACTCAAACAACGAATCCACACCAACAACAACTAGAAGATGCGACCAAACTCCACTACCCCCCTACCTAGTAAACCTAATCCGCAACAAAAGAAAACTTTACAGGACCTACATACAAACTAGAGACCCCGCTACTAAAACAGAATGGAACAGACAAAACGCAAGAATACGCCTACTCATCAATCTTTTCACCCAGAAAAGATGGATGGAAGAAACAAGCAAACTAGATTACAAGAACGGCTCAGCATTCTGGAACAAATTCAAAATAACTACACGACAAAAACAAAAAACGCACAGCCACCTGATGATCGAAGACAAGGCCATCTTCAGCCCAACAGAAAAAGCGGAAGCCTTCCGAAAAACACTTAGAACGACTTACACTGTACCTAGCAATGAACACTTCGACAACGAACACATGAACAACATACATCAACAAATCACTTCACAACTAGGCAGACACCCAGGACCAATCCCGACTGACCCACACTGCCCCCTCCGATCCCCTATAAGCGAAGACGACATCCTCAAAGCCATCCAGCGCGGAAGAAACACAGCCCCAGGACCAGATACAATTAACCGCAGAACCCTAAGAAACCTACCAAACACCATCCTACCATACCTTAGTGATATCCTGAACTCCTGCATAACCCTAGCGTACTTCCCCAAGGCCTGGAAACAGGCCAACACCATAATGATCCCGAAACCTCACAAAGACCCTACCAACCCCGAATCCTACCGACCAATCAGCCTCCTAAATTGCCTAGGAAAACTACTCGAAAGGCTACTGACCGACAGACTCACCGACTACCTACAAGAAAACAACATCATACCACCATACCAACACGGCTTCAGGGCCGAACACTCAACACAAAACGCTCTCATAGAACTACAAACACACATCACACAAAACATAAACGCCTCGTTCGGCACGCTAGCTGTGCTACTCGACATACAAAAAGCTTTCGATAAGGTCTGGCACGCGGGCCTGATCTGGAAGCTCACGCAAATACACCTACCACTGCACTTCATCAGACTGATAGCCTCATACCTCACAAACAGACAAATACAAATCAAAATCAACAACACACTATCCAACCCATTCACACCCAAAGCTGGAGTCCCCCAGGGCTCCATACTAGCTCCCATCCTATTCCTAATTTTCGTCCACGACACCCCCACAACCCAAAGAATACTTCAATACGCCGACGACACCATCCTATACTCCTCCGCATCCAACACCCAAAGACTACAGACACAAACACAAAATATGATAAACCACTTCACACAATGGTGCAACAAATGGTGCATCCAAATCAACCCGACAAAAACTCAGACAATACTCTTCCGACACCCAAACACAACTAACCTCGAGGAGGATACCAAGGAAGAAACTCCCATTTCCCCCAGCCAGACTACTGCGAGCCCTGGAGGATATACCGGAGAGATTCCTGGACATCCTGGACGAGTTCCCGCTGGCAATCAGATGAAAGACCCGACCAAACACACCATTAAACACAAGCCGACTCCAACATCACAGAACCATCACAAATCCACACCCCCAAGACAACCGACCACAGCAAAGAACAAGGACATCCAAATTACTTTTAATTATATTCATAATCATACTATTATTCATTAACCATATCCATTAACCTTAACTTATAATATTCAAAATTCATACATACTAACACATACTAACATAAACTAACACTGATAGGGAAAAATTATAAACCCTGAAGAGGCACGAGCCTATAGCAGGATCTTAACAAACACACCAAACAAATTGTAAACTACTAACCAAAATCAAGTGAATAAACGTGTACTACTACACACTTACACCACATTTCAGTGCCAGCTTTCATCGAGTGAAGGTCGGCTTTAGCGAAGAGTGCAAGTGAAGTGAAGTTAGTACCTGAACCCAAAGGATTACCTCATAGTGTCTACCGGCGTGAGGAGTCACTGATTATATTGTAATCAAACTCTTCCGATAGAGACATCAGAGCCTAATCCAAAAGGCGAAGGTGCTGCTAAACTTCCAGAGACAGCATCTGGAGGTGCTGCTATTAAAGGATCTCCAAACATAAGGTCGTACACTTCTTTATTGAAAAACTATGGCGAGACAAACTCGCCAAACCAAACGTAATCAAATCTCTTTTTCTGATTCCTCTCCTTCCTTTTCCGGCTCGTCTCCCGAACGTGAACCCACTGTGACCCCCCCTCCAACATCCACACGGGTTCAGCTACCTAATCAAACTAATCTATTTAACATCCGAGAAATCTCCGATGACCTAGCCAGTCAAAGGGCATTATTCAATCTGCTAAACACCCACGAATTCCTCTGTGGCCAGATCACGGAACTCAAGGTTAATTTCAACCGCACAGCTTTACTNCTGAAACGCGTTAGATAGGGACGAAACAAAAAAGATTTATGCGACTGCTGCAATATCTCCGATATTCGAAATATTTGTCAAAAATTGTCAAGCTTCTTACTCTATAGGAGAATACGCTTGCATAGACGAAATGCTGATTGCGTTTGGGGGTCGGTGTAAATTCAGGATACATATTTCCAATAAACCCCGGAAGTATGGTATAAAAGTCATGGTAATGACTGATGTTAAAACCCACTATATTCTGAATGGATACATTTACACAGGTAAAGATAGCGATGGAAAAACTCTCCGATGCTTATAAAAAAAAGGGTAAGCCGAGTCAGTCGTTTCTACGACTAGTTGCGTCCACTGTGGGTTCCAAACGGAATGTAAGAGCAGACAACTGGTTCTCCTCTATGGAACTGGTTTCAGAACTGAAAAATCAAGGCTTAACATACGTGGGCACCTTAAAAAAGAACAAACGAGATGTTTCCAAGGAGTTTCTTTCCACAAAAATGAAAGACGGAATATCAGCCATGTATGGATTTACGTTACCTTCATACGTTCCTAAAAAAATTAAGCCGTTCTTCTAGTCTCTTCAGTACATTATACGAAAAGCACCGATTCTCAAATGGGAAAACCTGAGATTATTACGTTCTATAATCAAACAAAAGGAGGAGTTGATGCCCTTCATGGAAGCCCTCGAATGACCTATAAATAGTCATCAATTAGCGAAATTAGTCCAGTCACCACCCGAAGACGATTTTGATACTAACAATCGAAACGTCGTGAAGTATATTTTTTGTTCATTTGTTAAATTTTTTGCTTGTATTTTATTTCACTGTGATTTCATTTCGGGATTTTTCGCTCAATATGATTGTTATTTTCAGCTATTAATTTCAAAAATTTCAAAATTTTAATTGTATTGGTTTTTTCAGGAATTCCAAATCACAATACACATATCATGTTAGACAATGGAAGTCCGAACTAACGAATTCGCCATCTGTGTGTTAGCCAGTTCGTTCGTTGAAAATTGACTTGATAGATAGTAGCCGTATTCTGTACTTATGCAAAGGGATGTTATTCATTATCAATTTGAAATTTTCGTTGGTTTGTTAACTAGGTTTCAATGAAAATTTTTAAGTGAAAAAGACGTTATGGATGCAATTTCCCTCTATTAGACTTTATAAGTTTGTCAAAATGGCGATTCACATTTGAATAATAATATTAATAATGAATGTCATTTATTGGTGATTCCCAAGGGGCCATAGATCGAAGTCCTTCAGCCCGTGTACAATTTTTAAATATTTACAGTGGTTTTTACATATGGTTACATAATAGAATTGAGGTACATTAGATTTGTGTGTGGTCACTAAATGACAACTACAGAATCTCTCAACAAAAACTTCCAAACTTTGACAATTAATAACGGCCATCTCATTGAAGCTTCAACATAATCCATGCGATTGGTCAAATTCAGTCTGATTCATGCACCAAAGTCATGGAAAATTGAATGTCTCACATGCGCTCCACTCAGAAAAGCGGTGGCGAACATTTGAACGATGTTATATTTTCTACATAATGACATCAATAGGTCTCTCAAATGAATACAAAATTCGATGGATGTAGCCGTTACTACGTGGTAGAAGATCATCNTGTAAAAAATTCCCAAGGATGTGTGAGACCTGTCAAACAAGCCCTTTGCTCAGATCAGCCAGTTATCTTGGTTTCTATAGATGAAAATTTTTGTATCAAGCATAGTGACAGAATATGCTCATAAAAAATTTCAATTTAATCGTCCCGCGTTTCAAAACTGAAGTTTTCCCGAGTATGAGACCAGATAAAATATCTCTGGAAGCGAAGAGTGACTTCTTG